ATATACTAGGTTGTATATCAGTTGCAATAGGAATTTTAGTTATTAGTCTCTCTCTACGCCATAAAAATCCGTTTATGTTCCGCCGTCTTAAAAAGTCCAACATGTGCAACCACGTGTTTTCAGCAACTGAAAGAGAACTAAACAGCTGTTGCTGCTGTAAATTTTTTCCCCTTCCTCTTTTCTAATTTAGCAGCTGTTTGCATAGTCGGCGTTTTCACGCAGCAAATAGTTGAGGAGAAAGACGGGTGTACCATATTAGCCGCCTATACCATATTACCCGCACTTACTCTACTGGCATATCTCACCGACAGGAAGCTCACCCATCCATGGACCGCCTGATGTGTCTCCTTGCGGCCTCCCTTTTGCCATGCTCCAATGCCCCCTTCAACTTACCACCTTTTCATCTTCCCTTCCCCTGCTTATGGGATTAAGTCCACATTTTAATTTCTTTTAAACATTCATTAAAATTTATTATAAAACATTATAGAAACATTATAAGAATGCAAATACAAACAGGAAAAAAGAGGGAACAAAAAGGAACCTATCAAATTAATCACCGTTTATACACGTCTGTCAAACAAACAATATTGAAAACCTGCCACCCTACCTACAAGAGCTCTTTTCGGATGGTGTGAAGGGTTTCCGGGAGCCGGATATTCCCCGTTCAGAAAATGCTACAATCCACCCTTTTGTTTGGGTTCTTCTTGCCTGGCAAGCACTAAGACACTAAAAAAAAGAAACGAAAGTATACGTATGTACAAACTTATTAACAAATTATCAGGCCTGTTCCGGTTTTCGAATTCGAGTGAATTTTTCGAATTCGATTTGACTACCTGCTCTGGGCTTCACAAAGCGACTTAATTTTTCGATTTCAATTCGATTGCTTTTATGCAAGCGAATTGAAAAGTAGTCTAAAAATGTGCATTAATTATCGGTTACTGATAGATGGAAAACATTTTTATTAAGAAATTTGATGTATTGAGATTTTTCTGTTGTTCTTGTTTTTTTTCTTTTAAATTTAGTTTTTATCAATAAAAAAACAATTAAAAATTGAATGTACTTTTTGGCCATACAATGAAATCGAGTTTCAGAAAAAGCTGTTCTGGTTTTCACATTTATACATGATTAAATGGAAATGAAACTAATTTCCAAAGTAAAGGGTTGCTATCTCTGTTAAGGAACAAGTGGAATACCTTGGAACAAAAATGGCAAACAAATTAAATAAGCCGAAGCTATTTTTAAAGCTTTTTGAGTTACATTTTTCATTTCTAAGTAATTATAAATGATTTTTACAATTATTCAAAACTTTTAGTTGATTTGGTAATGCAAAAATGTAAAACCAAACACTACTCTAAGGTTTGAAACAATTGTTTTGCTTATACAAGGTAATCCTGTCATCTTGTTTACTTTTGTCAATCAGCTGTTAGCAGAAATACAAAAATTATGGCCGGCAAAATGTAAGTACAAGCTTTTGTTGAATTTATTGTAAATTTGTTTAATTTTAATGCTTCTAAACGTTTTAATTTCAGGGGTAAACATAAGAACAGCCAACGAGAACAGATTTTTATTAATCGTATGCGTGAAAATGTAGATTTGGCAAAAGAACACCGTTAAAGGTGACAAAGTCGCTGCGGACGCAAAATGGGCGAATATTGTCTCCTCTCTCAATAGTGCTGGCCCGCCAATTAAAGATGTAGCTGGATGGAAAAAAGTAGTGTATATTACTTGCATTATTGTATTTGTTTACTAATTTTCATTTTGTATAGGTATGGATTGATTGGAAAAGTACAATTCGCAAAAAGCTTGCACATAACAAAAAGGAAACAACTGCAACCGGTGGTGGTCCCTTTGCGAAGCTGCCATTAACTGCAGTAGAAGAAGAAATTGCTTCGTTTTGTGGTCTGTATTCGATGGCAGAGGGAATGAAAGGTAGCAAGACCTTTGGTTCTGCCAATGCAGCAATGGAAAGCAGCCAAAATGAAGAAAATTGTAGCGTAGCAGACGCAGAAGAAGGTGAATCTCCCCCGAAGCCAAAACGAAGGCGACGTACGATGCCGGATGATTTAGAAGGCCTATGCAGTACCCAAAATGAGGTCTTGGAGCGTGTGGCTGAGAACTTGATGCAGCTCAATAGGAATATTGAAAGGCAAAATGAAATTCAAGAGGAAGTTCTTCAAATACTAAAAAACAAATTTCAATAGTCTTTTATGTGTATTTAACATATGTGAGCAATATCAAATGATCTCTTAAACAAATAAATGAAATTCAAGAGCGACTATATATATATATTTACATATATATACATATATATATGTATGTATATATATGTATATATGTATATATTCATATATATAAATATGTGCCCAGTGTGTGTGTGAAAGTGGTTAAAGTAACATCACACCTTTTGTGATTAAAAAATGGTAATTTGACTGTATACATATGAACGCGTCGAATATTCGTCCAACTGCATTTGCCTAGGGTCAAAAGTTTTATCATTAGTTTATGAAGATAAAACGTTTACAGATGCGCTCACTTACAAGTAACTGGTCATTTAAGCACAAAAGATGTGATTTGATTTGGTTACTCAATGCCTTGTTAACGCTAACTGCAAGTTAAACATCGTTAGCGACTCCATAAGACTCCAGTGACTCAAGCAAATGACCACGTGTTGATTCTTTTTTAATATTCGTAAAGTTTTCTGAGCTACATTTTTTTTGTTATTTTTCTATAAAAATACCTAACGGACTTCCGCGTTTTATTTCATAAGAAATTCATGCTTATATGGAAAAAGGAGCAAAAATCCGTCAGCAAAAAAATTCTCAAAAATCACCGCGATTTTTTTTAGCTGATTAAAGCTTCACTTCATTAGACTAAAATTGTATGGGCTATAAAACTGTCTTTAAGTGACTTGCGCTCACTTAAAGTTCTTACGTGACTTGCGTTCTTAAATTCCTTGGGTAAATGCATCCCTGCAGGACTTCCACACTACAAGCATCCCTGCTGTAGTTGGAAGTTCGAAAAATGAATTTGCCTTCCAGTGTTACCAGCAGACCCACTGAATTCGCGTTCCAGTGTGGCCTATAAATGTAACTTCCGCCTTACCATCCTTCTTCTTACCTTTCCAACCGGGGACCAGCGCACACGCAAACAACGTGGGAAGTTTACACGCCTCTTTCTTTACCACAACGTGGGACCTTGGCACTCATACATATATCTATATTCTTACTGCGTGGGAATCACCATTTTTCATTACCGTCCAACAACACTCATAAGTCTAACATCCATTTCATACAATCATTGCCTTTCATATAAACACATATACGTATACATGTAAATCTAAATTCCCATTGTACGGATAATATTTTCTCATTGAACTATCTAACATTAATGCTTAATGTTATATCATGAATTTCATTTTGAATTATATAAACTTAAAATAAGTCATACAGTCCACCTACCTAAATTTCTCATTCATTCCTAAATTGTAACTTACATACATAAATCTCTCATTCATTCCTCAATTGTTACGTACATACATAAATTGCTCATTCATTTGCCAATTGTTACCTTAACTATATTTTTCATTCACTCAACAATTATCAGTTATATAAATTTTCATCATACATCAAAACTAGTTAGTAAGCATATTTGTTAAATAAAACCTGAATTGAAAACGAATTCACATAACTCGCTTCAATTCGCAACATGGTCCTTGCGAGCCAAATGTGAATCAACAAGTGGCAACTCAACTTCGAAAATTAAGTTCGAAAGAACAAGAGTCGCCTAGCCACACTGCCTGCGACTGTCATTTTTAACATTTCCATCTTCTTCAAATTAGACAGCAAAGCGTACGGCAGCAACTTCAGAGCAGCGATATTTGCAGCAGAAAAAATTTAAGCGTTGTCCACAAAAAAGGTAAATTTAAATTAAAAAAAACCAAAGCGGAGTTATATTTGCGCAACAGCAAATTAAGCACCAGTGTTTTCATGGTGCGCGTAAAATTGTGCTGAAAACTGCCGCTGCCCACCGTGGGACCCAGGTTTTTGCAACCCACCGAGGGATCCAAAAGCAACCAGGAGGCGCTTAACACCAGCAATCAGCAGTGCCCACCGCGGGACTAAGCATTTTGACCGTCGTCGAGGGAGCACCATATTTCCGCCACAAAAACAACAGAAGCATATTGCAAGCGATTCCCGTACTCAGCATTTTTCATCAAAGGAAGTATGAGCCGAACCAAACAGCGCATGTCAGTCACACTATCCCGCTATTTTTGAGATATGTACTGTAGTGTAAACACAATGTAACATAATAAAGAGTATAGATGTATATTAGACCGGTGGCAACACCACCATAGAAATAAGTGGAACGTAATCCAAGAATACCAACCTGGCAATACTGTGAACAAAAAAGACATTAAATAGAGAATTTGCTACAGCGTCCGGTGTGAGCTCCCGGTAAAAATGGAAAAAATGGAGAAACAGCAGATCATAGACGTGATGCGAGACGCGGGAATTGCGTATCCCGAAACCGCAAGCCTACGGCAACTAAAACTTCTGCTGTCTACGGCGGTAGGTGCTCCGCCACCAGTTGAAAAGCTAGCTGAGCCAATACGTGGCACGTCGGCGGCAGTGATGGGAGGCCCAACGCCGGTAACAGGCGCACCGGCACAGAAACGGGGCTCCGCGGAAAAATCCACGGTGGCCACCGGTAATAACCTTGAAACTTCAGAGAATATCAGCAAAACCACTTCAGCAGCCAATAACGGCAAACAACCTTCAGCAAATTTCGGTAACGGCAGTTTTACTTTGGTATCCACCGGTAACGGCACTTCAGCATCAGAGGCAACAAGCAGCGGTACTTCCGCAGCAGCCGCAGCAGTAAATACAAGCGCTGACG